TCTTTTTACCATTTTCGCACAAGGTGGTATCCTGGACCTCCTTGTACCACTATTTTCTCTAGGCTGTGGTGATTCCTACTGGAAGGAGCCCCCTTATTGCTTTTGCCCAGCAAACAGCCATTGCTCTCTTGGACCTCCTGCACAAGTACCACTCAAACTTTATGCTCCATCAGCACAAGATAGGATCTCAGCCATAGATCCACATAAGCCACAATGAAGGAGAAGAAGCCACAATGAAGGACTGTGTGATGCATTTGAAGGTTAACTATATTGTTGTTGTTATTGTGTGCCTTCAAGTCAATTACGGTTTTCTTGGCAAGATTTATAATTCAGAGGAAGTTTGACACTGCATTCCTTTAATGCAGAAAGAGTGTGACTTGCCCAAGGTCACCTTGAGCATCTATGGCCAAGCGGGGATTCAAACTCTTGTCCCCCAGAGTCCTAGTCCAACACTCAAGCCACTACACTATGCTGGCTCCAGATCTTAAATACCAACAACTTAAAATGCTATAAGCTTAAAGGAAAAGTGAGGGGAAGGAATGTGTAAAGGGTTTAAGGCACCTGAACAGGTGGCAGCATTTTGAGTCCAAGTGGAGAGACACGAATCCCAGCTTAGGGAAGCAAGAAAACCAGCCATAAGAATGATGCAGTAGTTGACCCAGTGAATAAGAAGGAATAAATTAAAATGTTGACAATTTCTATAAAGAGTTAAAAAAAAAAAAGAGGAAATTCTGGTTATAGTGAAAATGGCAAGACTTCACAGGAGAATTGGTATAGCTGGGAAAGGGAAGAATCCATCTGCACTCCAAGATTTTGAGCTTGAGAAGAACAAAGAATGCTGTTCCCAAGAACCAGCAAAAATGATGTTGAGAGAGGCTGAGAAGGTGAGAGAGAACAAGAAGTGCAGTTTTGGCAGACCCAGTTTTGGGCACTCGTCCACTGGTGAAGAGCAAAGAAAGTAGCAACAGAGAGTTGGGCAAGAGAAGAAAGAGACAGATCAGGGATAGAGCAACAAAGCTGTAAATCCTGAATGTAAAGGTGACACTGGATAGCAGAGACAAGAGGCATAAAACAAAAGATAAAGAGAAACTTATACAGAACCTTGCAGAAGTTTTCAAACATTCCCTTTGACTTTTCCACATTTTGGTGTGTTACATTCTGGAACTGAAACAATTGTCATTGTTATCGCTTGGTGATAACAGTGATGATATTGGTGGCAGGAAGGAGACCAGGTATTGGAGATATAGGCTGTTCAGAGTGGGCAGATTTTGGCTGCAATTCCGTATGGCTCAGCATAGTAGGTCCCCCAACTTTCTGAAAGCCTCTGAAGCCCTCTGCACACTATTCAGTGCTTTGTGGTGAACAGGTAGGATCAGAGAGGCATCTGGCTATATCCTCATAGGCAAATAAAATGTCTGGAACAGTACTGAGACTCCTGGGGAACCCAGGCAGATCTCAGTGCTGATGTTATCATTTTGCATCTGGCTTCAGAAACAAAGCTAGACTTCTGCAATCCTACCTGCAGCAAACAGCCATGTGGGGGGGATTTCAGAGGCTTTCAGTAAGTCTGGGGGTGGCTTTGGGCACTGGGGAGGGAGGAAGGGAATATCAATTTCCGCAGCACCCAAAAAAGGGCATCTGAACACATGAAAGAAACTTATGCATGTGGATGTCCCCAAGAGATGCCAGCCACTGCTGTCTTCCCTCCCACAGCCCTGCAACTGCTAGTATAGAGCACCAGCTGGATTCAACCCCTTGTAGATCTCTATCCCTGTAGATCTCTATTAGAATAGCAGCAATCCACCTCCTTGCTGAGCTGTCCAGAATGCTGCACAAGATCCTTCATTGATCAAGCTCCTTCATTTTCTCAGCATAGTATAAATATCCACAAATGGAGTTATGTTACACCAGCCCTTATTTCCTGCTTATAGTAACCCTAAGGCAAAGCTTTCATGCATGTTCTAGAGTTGAAAGCGTGTGACTCACTGAAGGTCACCCAGCAGATTTCCATGGCTGAGCAGGGAATTGAACCCAGGACTCCAGGATCATAGTCCAACGTTCAATCCATTACATCACACTGGCTTTACCTAGCACTATACAATCCCTATACTGAGTACCACCAGAATACAATGTGTGGGAGATGGTAAATGTGCATACTCGCCTTCTTCTTGTGTGATACTTTGCACACAGAGGTAGCACACAATTTGTAATGTGCATTAACACATCACCCTAGATAGTACATCTATAATGGTTCTGCATGTGGAACCCATCTTCCATCACCATCAACTGGATACATCTATTCCACGTTGTCCAAAAAAATTATTTTGCATGCGTAGCACAATATATGCTTGCATATGTCACCCTCAGGGTTTTGGCCTGAGGACTTTTCATAGTGCCCACAAAGATCACTAGGAATGCAGAGCCAGGGAATGAAGGCTAATATTATGAAGTTACAAAGTGACATTGCAGTAAATAATGCTGGATAGGAAGTACTGAAGGCCCTCTCAGCAAAATGCCCTTCTTGAGCCCCCATTATCTATCCATCTGTCTCTATCTTTCATTTGTCTTTTGCTGTTGTAGTTATACATCTTCAAGTCAACTCTGACATATGGCAACCCTATTCTAGAGTTTCTTGACAAAATTTATTAAGAGAATATTTGCCTTCGTCTGAGGTTGAGAGTGTGACTTGCTGAAGGTCACTCAGTGGGTTTCAATGGCTAAATAGGAATTTGAACTATGGTCTAAACACTAAACCACTACACCACATTCACTTCTTCCCTCCCCCCTCTCTATCATCAAAATATTTATATCCTGCCATTCACTGTATGGAAGAAATTAGGAGGAATAGCTAATACCCCAGAGGACAGGATGAAAATTCAAAATGAACTTAATAGATTAGAAAGCTACGCCAAAGCTAACAAGATGAATTTCAACACAGAGAAATGTAAGGTACTG